ATCACCACCACCATCATCACCCCAATCATCACCACCACCATCATCACCTCAATCATCACCACCACCATCATCTCAACCCCAATCATCACCACCACCATCTCAATCACAATCATCACCACCACCATCATCTCAACCCCAATCATCACCACCACCATCTCAATCACAATCATCACCACCATCATCATCTCAACCCCAATCATCACCACCACCATCATCTCAACCCCAATCATCACCACCACCACCATCACCTCAATCATCACCACCACCATCATCTCAACCCCAATCATCACCACCACCATCTCAATCACAATCATCACCACCACCACCATCATCATCTCATCATCGCCATCATCATCACCCACTTAGCGTCCACGATGTTGATGACGTCAGCATTGCACCCGAGGGCTCCGTACTCCAGACTCTTGACGCACCTGCCGAACCGCATGCGTCCGTACACGGCACTCCTTATTAGGATGACTTGCGTCGGGCTGGAACCTCCCACTTCCTGTCCTCGCGTGTAAGGATGTGCTGTTCCGGATCTTGACGTCATTGGGCAGGAAACGTCAAATGTTTCTCTCTCGCAAAACTCGCCGGTTATTATCGCCGGTGACGATGGAAACGATGATGGTGACGACGACGACGATGATAATGATGTTAGCGGCAACGATAATGATGATAATGAGGAGGAGGAGGAAGAAGAAGATGACAGTAAAGATACTTTTCTGTTGTGGTGGTGTTGGAAGGAGTTGAACTTCGAACTTGCTGTATTGGGAGAAATATTTTTGGTGATCATTAGTTTTATTTATTTTGTAATCATAATAATTATTTATATTATTATTTATATTATTATTCATATTATTATTCATATTATTATTATTATTATTATTATTATTACTATGTTGTTGTTATTACTACTATTGTAAATGACATTATTCCACTCGTCTTTTCCTTTTTTCCGAAATTAATTGGCTACGTCTGGCGTCAACGCTGCTGTCATCATCATCGTCGTCATCATCGTCATCATCATCGTCATCATCATTATCGTCATCATCGTCATCATCATCGTCATCATCATCATCGTCGTCATCATAATTATATTTATTACTTAATCACCACATAATCACCACCATCACCACCATATTTATTTTACTCGTCATCCGTCAAGCTGCCATTGTTTCTGCACAATACAGTGCAGTCCGCCAGAACGGACGAACTATCTATTAAACCAGCTTACAACCAAATACATCGCTAACCATGAAACAACTACAAAAAATGTCTTCATCAACAACAACAACAAGGATATATCAAGGAAAACAACTGCAATAATTACAACGCTAAAAAACCACAGTTCAGCAAAAACAACAGCCATAAAACAACAACAACAGTTGAAAAGCAACAACAACAACAAAAACATAAACAATAGCAACAACAACAACAACAACACCATCATCAACAACAAAACAAAAATAGCAACAACAACAAACAACATCAACGGAAGAAACAATGAGGAAGACAGACAGACAGGCATAGAGTCAGACAGAGCAGTCGGTTGGCGGCCATATTGTTTGAATGTCGTCATGCAGAACAACATAGAAAATGGCGCGCCATCGATAATAAGGTTGGAGGAAGCAAAGACATAACAACAATCCAACAGCCTTATGTCAATGGTTGATGTCAATGCAGCGGAACCCACAAATGAAGCGTGACCATTCAAACAAGCAGTAATGGTGATGATGATGTAGTTGCTGGTGATGATGACGATGATAGTGGTGATGATGATAATGGTGACGATGATGATGATGACGAGGGTGGTGGTGGTAGTGGTGGTGATGATTATGATGGGGATGATGAGAATGATGATGATGATGATGAGAATGATGATGATGATGGTGATAACGATAATTATGATGATGGTGATGATAAGGTTGATGATGAGGATGGTGTATGTGATGACGATAATCATGAGTAAGATATTATGATGATAATAAAAGCACTAACGATGATAATGACGATTGATTACGTGATGATGATAACCACATGATAATGATAATTATATTAATTGTAGTGAAATGTTGGTGATGTTGGTGAAATGAAAAACTTAAAAAATGAAAAACATAAAAAATGTGTGAATACTGAAAATTGTATTGGCAACCAACGATAAAATTTTTAAAAATTATACATACACTCCTACCTACTTACTTGTCAGTTCTATTATTCATTAATTGATTTATTACAAGATTCTTTTGCCTGCTTCAAGCATGTTATAATAAGTATACTTTAATATTATTATGATGGCTGCCTTTATTATTATTATTAATAATATTATTATTGTTTTTTTTTTTACTATTCAGTTGAAATCATTTGATTATGGTGCGACAAAATAGCAACACATGAGGTATAATCAATCCAAGCTCACACAAGGAATGTCTACATTCATCACGGGATGAACTATACACAAACATACGTGTGTGTGTGTGTGTGTGTGTACGTGTGTGTGTGAACGTTTGTCTGTATGTCATGTGTGTTCGGGCATGTTTCCTTTGCGTGACGTCGTAACGCTTTTAAACGAGGGTTGTGTTTATACAAGTTGTTTGTTTTTTGTTTGATTTTTTTTCGATAAATTATTTTCCATACGTATGAATATTTGTAAGTTTGAGTGCGTTTGCAGTTGTTCACTCGGGTCGTTCTCAGGGAGAGATGTGCTCTTTGTGAGGAGAGCGCATGGCTGTCTACAGCGCGAGATTAGAGAGACCAAATTTCAACATGGCCGTCATTATGACGTCAGCGAGGTTCTTGTGATTTGTTTGTAATTGTGAGAGTAGGTTTTTTTTTGAATGGTGACGAGATAATAAGCTGAAAAGGAAAGTTAACTTTATGTGAGGATGATAGAGTTGTTGTGATATTAAATTGTCATTTGTATCATCGTAATCATCATCATCATCATCTTCATCATCCTCATCATCATCATCATCATCTTCATCATTTTCATCATCATCATCATTCTATTTATTTTCTTTATCATCATCATCATGACGACATTAAAATTGCTGCTGCTGATGATGATGATGACAGAATGGAAAATACAAATAAAAATAAAAAAAATTTGTGGAAATGATAAGTGGGACAGTATTTTGAAAAATGGAATAAAATATTTGACACAAAAAGAGTTATTAGTAGATTTTTCATCTGTTGAAACTTCATTTCTTAACCTAAAGTGCGAAGTTTATTATCGACTCCTAACACTACACGCATACTAAAAACTAAAAGGAGGTAAATCCACAATCATCCTCAAAAAAAAATAATCCTAAAAAGTGAAAAAATCACTGAAAATGAAATATTTGTGGAAATGTTTCAAAACATCAAGCGCTACAGAATTTGTGACAAGTTGACGTTGTCAAAACCATACGTGACGTAAGTCACGTGATGAAGAGTGTGTTGCCGCCTTTTTTTCTATACGAGTGTGATTGTGCATGCGTGTGTGTGTGTGAATACGTATGTATATGTGCGTGTATGTATTTATGTATATGCCTGAACGTATGTATATGTGTATGTATGTATGTATGTATGTATGTATGTATGTATGTACGTATGTATACATATGTATGTATGTATATATGTATGTATGTATGTATGTATGTATGTATGTATGTATGTTTGTACATTTGTATGTTTGTATGTATGTATGTGCGAATGTTTGAAGGTCATTTATTTTGTTGAATTTATTTTATGGCTGGTTGATAATTTGAGTTTTTGTTCAATGTTAACACCTGACATGAACATTTTTTTATTGTCGTTGTTTAACGTTGTCATTAAAATTCAACTTTGCTCAAATGTTGGGTAGGATGTGTTTTGTTAATTAATCGTCGTTCTTATTTTTGAAAGAGAAAGGAAATATATACAACAGTGTCTTTGTTTTCGTTACAAAATTAGTTTTCGAATACATGCATACAATGTACATATGTATACGTGTGTGTGTCTGTGTGTCTGTCTATGTTTATGTGTGACTGTATGTGTGTGTGAGATTATTTTTGTGATTTTGACCACTACGTTGTTTACATAAACAATAGTTTGAAAGAGCAGATGTATATGTGAGGTCTAGCAATACCGTTTGTTGTTTGTTTGTTGTTTGTTGTTTGTTTGTTGTTTGTTGTTTGTTTGTTGTTGTTGTTTGTTTGTTGTTTGTTGTTTGTTTGTTGTTTGTTATCAACGCTGATTCTTCCGACTGCTGATAACCTCTCTTTCTACCCACCGCCGAATGTATGTTTCTTTGTGAAGTGAATGATCGAAAACGTATGCTTCGACGTTCGTCTCCGTACGTTTGCTTGTTTGTTAGTTTTTGTTTCAATGTTCTTATGTTTGCTTGTGTTTGCATGTTTGTTCATCAATCTGCTTTTTTCATGTCTGTACGCTTGCCTATTAAGTTTTGCTTGTGTGTTTGTATTTTTCAGCCTCAGTTCATCTCTTCTAGCATGTTTAATTTTTGCGAGTTCATTTGTATTGTTTTTTTTTGCAATTTTTTGTTACTCTGTTTTTTGGTTTGTTATTTTTTTTCCAATATATTTAATTATTCTCTCTCAAGCAGAATTTGTGCTGCTGAATATTTAAAGAGATGAGGGAGGGGAGTCAACATTCATCTTCAGATCACCGCAACAACAAATGCAACATAATTCATACACACACACACACAAACACACATACACAAACTCACACACACAAACTCACACATTGAATTCTTCTACACATGTACACATCGTGCACAAACTCAAAACTACCATGTGCATATACACGCACATATACGCACATATTATAAATACACAATCACAAGTTTGCACAATCACATACACACAATCATGGACACATACACATACATACAATTTAACTAAACATTTCACACTCACATGTCACATTTTGTATACACCAGTGAAAGAAAATGTCTAAAATGCATAACATTTTTCAATAATATTTTTTAATGTTGAATTTAAATTGTTGCAAAATTGCAAACAGCAACAATTAAATCAAAAAATTCATTCTACAGTTTTTTACTCTTCAAATAACAAATTTTCTGCCTAGCTATTTTCACAAAATAACATTATTTCCTGTTAATTCATTCTATAAAACTGTTTCATTCATATGTATGGTTGTATGTAGCGTTTGGTGAAGATTGTCAGTTTGCCTCCTCATAATCATTGGCGATAGACATACCGACTAACTTCACCTAACTTTCTTTCTGCCATACTTGATACTGTGGTCGAAATTTCTACTCAGGAAGCCCATATCTGCATTTTAGTTGCGCGTTCATCATCGTTAGCCTACTAGATAAGATAAGAATGCGTGCGTGTTGTATGCGTGCTACATCTACAGCAACACTGCTTTGTGTTAGTACTTGGGACTTTTGTTTCTTGGTATGTTTGTAATGTGTAATTGCTTGTATGTTTTGTTGTTTGTATGACGTTTGTATGTGTAACTGTTTTTATGTGCTATTTCAAGTGTAATTATTTGTATGCGTTTTGTATGTGTAAGTGTTTTTATCCAGGTAAATGTTTAGCTGAT